TGCCAACCTAGCAGTTCGAAAGTAAATACAGAAAATACAAATGGAAAAATGTAACCAAGGTAAACCAAGATAGCAATATGACCAAGACAGGAAGTATGGTAAAATGTGGGGGTGGGATGGAATGGAGATCGAGCTAATAAAAGAAAACTGCTGTTTCTGCATCACATACAGTATATCACTTCAGATCCAACAGCAAAGCAGCAAGAATACTCTCCAGATCTATACAAAATTTGTTTTTAATATTGATTCCTTCTAATTATTTACCTGTTTGTGTCAACTTAAGAATATAAAAGTTCTAGTAAATCAGAGCCAGGCAGTATATTATTTCTACTGAGGCCACACTATATGGGAAATCCCCAAGTAAAAAATGGGTCCTTAACACTGTCTGGCTTGAGTTCTATAGCAATTCATATTCTGAAGCTTGGTCTACGTACAACTATCATTAATAGGACATATTAATAACCATCACTGTATCCTATGGTGCTGTGTTTGAAATTTGAAAACCACCTCAGATACATTTTAGTTATCTAGATATTTAATGAATCAATGTGTGTCAAACCAGAAAGGAAACAGCCCATAAATGATACACTCCATAATTTGTTAGCTGAACTTATTGCAGGAGAAACTAATGAGTTGAATATTGAGCAGGCTTCTCCTGTGATGCATGTAGACTAGACTTCATCAGATGGGTGTACAGTTAGCATTTTTATGACACATAAAATACGGTTTTATATCTATTAAAACCTAACACCCATGAATCCATAAGTTCAATGTAGGAAAAGACAAGACAAAACTGCCTAGAGCTGAGAAAATTGCAACATGAGTTCAGTGTGATTTTTAAAGCGCCAGATAAGGCACAAAGAAACATCCATACAGTATTTATAAAAAGAAATAAAGGCCATGCTGAGGAAGGTGCGAAGGAAATGTATAAGTTTATAAGCCATTTTATATCAGCAGCAGCCATTCATGACCTGTAGCTCCACCAGGAGCTAAATGTCTATTTAAGAATCACTAATTTGGAATTAAGCAGTAGTATGAGGCAATATCCCAACAGGACAGCGTAATATATAACAATATAGGAACCATGAACATTAGGCTGAAAGCTATTGCAACCATAAAATGAAGCAGACCATAAACAGAAACAAAACAAACATAAGCAGAGCCAAGGTGGCGCAGTGGTTAGAGTGCAGTNCAACACTTAATGATAGCCATAGGGTACAAATAAGCAATCAAATCATACTAGGAAACAATCAACATAAATTGTAAGGATACAAGCAACATAGTTATAGTCATAAGTGGGAGGAGATGGGTGATTGGAACGATGGGAAGTTTAACAGTAATAGTAATGCAGACTTAGTAAATAGTTTGACAGTGTTGAGGGAATTATTTGTTTAGCAGTGTGATGGTGTGAATAATGAATACATTATTTCAGCAACAGAAAAGGTGGCTTTATACCTTTTTTTTTATAGTTATGCTTTTGGTAGGTTGGATTATAGTTTATTTTTGCGTGCAGACTGATGCAAAGAATGAGTTAAGCAGTTCTGCATTCTCTGGACAACTCCAAATAAATAACACCATAATCGAATACATGACATCTTACATAGCAACAGGACGAAAAGCTCCATGCTGAATTTTAAAAGACTCCGGATGATGACTGTGGATCAGATCATGACCCATTAATTGGAGTATACATCAGATTAGAAAAAATACTAGAAACAATCAAATCCTAACGAGATATAACCTAGAACCCAGAACAATAGAAGATTCAGGCTCGAAACAGTTTTAAAGACCTGGATTTATGTATAGAGAACATGAAAACTTGTGCTAAGATGTTAAAGTGCTTTTAAGATATGAAGCATATAAAAAGAGCCAGAAGGAAAGAAACAAGACTGGCTATCAAACAAGGCCACAGACATAGCTATGGAAAGAAAGGAGTATAACTGAGTGCAGATTGCAGAAAGTAACAGACTGGGAGGAACAAGAGGCCTGTTTAAGAAATCCAAAGAAATCGAGGGAACATGAGAGAGTTAATAATGGATCATAATGTTTTAAAAAAATGGAAGGACAATGCAGAATACTTGTGTAAGAACAACTCTCCCACCTGAGAGAGAAGGACCATAGGGCTGGAAGGGGTCTTGGAGGTCTCCTGCCCAAGGGAGGAGTTCTTATACCATCCCAAACAGATGGTTGTCCAATCTTTTCTTGAAAACCTCCGGCGATGGAGCACACACAACTCTGGGAGGGAAGCTGTTTTACTGGTTAATTGCTCTCTGTGTCAAGAAATTTCCCCTTAATTCCAGGTGGGATGTCTCATTAACAAGCTTCTACCCACAGCTTCTTATTCTTCCCTCAAATGTTTTGGAGAACAAGTCAACCCCCTCATCTTTGTGACTGCCCCTCAAGTACCAAAACTGGAAATCTCACTAGTGCATTACAGAGCCATGCCCTATATTCTTGTGATCTTGATAAAAGGTAAAGGTTCCGCTCGCACATATGTGCTAGTTGTTCCTGACTCTAGGGGGCGATGCTCATCTCCATTTCAAAACCAAAGAGCCAGCGCTGTCTGAAGACGTGTCCGTGGTCATGTGGCCGGCATGACTGAATGCTGAAGGCGCTTGGAACGCCGTTACCTTCCTACCAAAGGTGGTCCCTATTTTTCTACTTGCATTTTTTTACATTCTTTCGAACTGCTAGGTTGGCAGAAGCTGGGACAAGTAATGGGAGCTCACTCAGTTCCGCAGAGCTAGGGATTCAAACTGCCGACCTTTCTGATCGACAAGCTTAGTGTCTTAGCCAGTGAGCTACCGAGTCCCTTCTTATTCTCGTGATCTNCCCAGACTGTGGGGGCGATATGCTGACTCTGTAAACCGCTTAGAGAGGGCTGAAAGCCCTATGAAGCAGTATGTAAGTCTAACTGCTATTGCTATAAAGAATAAAATATTACAACCTTACTGATGAATCAACTAACTCTAAAACTCAAAAGATTGAATAAAAAGCTTTTGAAATTCCCAGAAACATTTTTTGGCTATAATTGTACATTTTTGTGATATAGTACTATGGGAAACCTCAGAAAGTGTAAGACGAGAGAACAGAAGAGAAAGACACGCACAGATTATTTTCACTAAAAACCTAGTCCAACAAATTAATTGAACATTCCTTCTCTGATTCCATGACAATTGATAGGACATGTCATTCATTTTTGGTACCTCCATGCTGTTTTCACAATTTCACATGCCATCAAATGTCTCTTTGTCTATTCTCTATACATTTATATCCTGTCTTTTTAAATAACACATAGCAGCCAACATGCCCAATATTCTTTCCTCACAACAACCCTATGAAACGGGTTAGGCTGAGAGTGACTGACTGGTCCAAAGTCATCCAGCCAGCTTTCATGCTCAAGATGGAACTAGAACTCAGTTTCCTGGTTTCTAGCCTGGTGCCTTAAACCACTAGACCAAACTAGCTCCCTTATCTTTAATAGTTTTAAGTAACTATTAAATAGCTTTAAATTAAATTAAAACACCTTTAAACAGCTTTACCATCAACTGCGCTTTGGGTTTGCATTTGCGGCTTTAATAAATTAGGGCAGATACAGGTAGTCCTGGAACAGCTCAATTAGTGACTGTTAAAAGTTACAATGCCACTAAAAAAAGTGACATATGACCATTTTTCACATTTATGACCATTGCAGCATCCCCACAGTCATTTGGATGCTTGACAACTGACTCACATGTATGACGGTTGCAGTGTCCCAGAGTCAAGTGATCCCCTTTTTGCGACCTTCTGACAACCAAAAGCCAAAAGAGAAACGAGATTCACTTAACAACTGTGTTACTAATTTAATTACTGTAATGATTCACTTAACAAATGTGGCGAGAAAAGTCATAACTGGGGTGAAGCTCACTTAACAAATTTCTCACTTAGCAACGTAAATATTGGGCTCAGTTGTGGTGGTAAGTTGAGGACTACCTGTATTCTTATTTTAAAAGCCTATTTCCAAATCCAATTTCTGAAGGAGGGGGTAAAACGACACCTGACAAGGCTATGATAAAACTTTTTGGACTTCCTGCGGTGACATCACTTCCATGAGGGCGAAAAAATGGTAGCTCTGCTAGCTGTACTCAAGTTTCTGTTGTGAAGATCCTGAAAAAGGACGAGTTGAACCTGGAGAGATCAACAGGAGAGAGTGGAAGCCCGGGCGCTGAAAGAGGAAGCAAGCAACTTCCCTATCGGACGAGGGACAACCCCATGAAATCACCAGAGAAGAAATTGGCGTCCATGACCGATTTTGAGTGGTGATTGCCGCACGAGGGAGAGAAAATAACAACACAGCAGCATTGTTGACAATATTTAAAACAACTAAAACGGTATAAATTTTATTAAAGACCCATTGAGCTAGAATTTCAAAGCTTTGAAGCTAGCTGGGTACAGCTTAATATCGGCAGCTACAAGAAGAGAGAAAGCAAGCGATTTCCTATAGCAATAGAAGGTTTGGAGTGACTTGAGAACAGAACTGAACAAAACTGAATAAGGAGAGAAGGAGAGGATTGTTGGAGCGATTTGAACAATAAACAGAAATTGGAGCCAGACAAAGCAGTGACAATTGTGAAGAAGGGAAGAGAACTATTTTGGAATACTCAAGAGAAAGTGGGAGCTAGAAGAGCAAATATCAGAGGTTTGATTGAGGAGGAAAAAGAAAAACCTTATAAGAAAGAAGAGTAACAGGGCCATCTAGTGGAGAAAGAAATAAGAATTAAATAACAGTATACAGGATAATCCTGCTGATGCAATCTGAAAAAAAGATATTTTTTGGGTGATCTCTGAAATCAGATTTAAAAAATTGAAGAACACTGAAAGAAGAAATATAAATGTAAACTGAACTGTGGTGAGATAAAATATTGTTAAATGGTATTGAACCATATTATATTTGGAAAAGAGCGTAGAGATTAGTGATACTTTGAAACTATCACTGTTATAAATAGATGATATGTTATATAAGAATTAAAATTAAGGATTTATTAGCCTAAGTATATTGTATACCTAGAGAATAGTAAAAAATAGTAATATAGTGTTGAAGTGGGGAGTGTTACTTTGTAATTATTAAAGAGACGATTTAAGATTATATATTGAATCAAATTAAGAACGTGTTAGGTTAAATATATTCCATATTGCATGAATATTTTGTGGATTGACTTGCATACTAACACAAATATACAGAAATTAAGCTGTTAAATTTGTAGGATTGAATGATATTGAATTGAAATGTGCATGGAAGAGGGAAAGTTCAAAGACTGACGGAGCTGGTATAAGAGAGTGGAAACAAACAGTGGGCAGAGAGAAGTATATGTTATTGTGGGCCATATTATATCATGGGTGTCAAACTCAATCACGTCATGTGATATATCACAAGGGGTTTTTTGCCTTTGTGAAGCTGGAGTGGGCGTGGCTTGTACATCCGGCCCGTGGGCCACCACTTTGACACCTCTGCATTATGTGAAGACCCAACTCTCTGGAAAAGGCCACAATGGTGGGAAGGATGCAAGGGGAAAAAAGGAAGAGAATGGCCAGCAGCAAGGCAGATGTGTTCAGTTATAGTGGCAATGAATGCACCCTTGAGAGGCATGAAAATGACAGGATTAAGAATAGATTGTCACAGAGAAAAATCTATATGACTGCTAGACATGAAAAACGATTTTTGGGGGGGACAACGACAACTACAGATGATTGGTGTCTCCCCTGCAATACAACACATAAAAGCGTAATTCTGCCTCCCCTGAACCTTCAAGGCACAGACCTGACTTCCACTTCGGGTTTGTTGTGTCTCTCTACCACCTGGGAGGAGAAGTTCTCCAGGCACAAGGCAGCCTGCAGGGTGGCACGCACTGCGTTGAGGTACGGGCGCAGAGTGGCTGTCTGTAGGAAGGAGAGAGAGAATAGACATAGAATTCTTTATTGGCCAAGTGTGACTGGACACACAAGGAATTTGCCTTTGGTGCATATGCTCTCAGTGTACATAAGGAGAATAAAAAAACATTCGTCAAGAATCATAAGGTACAGCACTTAATGATATCCATAGGGTACAAATAAGCAATCAGGGAACAATCGATATCAATATAAATCCTAAGGAGAGGGGATGGGGGAGAGGAAAAAAAGCAGGGACCACGAATTTGGGGAGATCCTCCAGCCCGGATCCTTTGCAACCTCCCCGCCGGTCCAGCAGAGATCTTCCTGCCCTCCCTCCGAGGCCGACGCTTTCCAAGACCGCAGAGGCGGTCTTCCTTTCCCGGTGTTCCCAGGCTCCGATCCCAACGCAGGACCCGGCGATGCGGGCTTCGATCCCGGCAGAAGGGTTTAAAGTAACAGAGTTGTAAGGGACCTTGGAGGTCACCTAGCCCAACCCCCTGCTCACGCAGGAGTCCTGTACTAGGGATTCGAACCGCCGACCTTTCTGATCGACAAGCTCAGCAGCCACTGAGCCACCTAGTCAGGGTTTGATCGCCTCGTCTTTCTCTCTGTGTCTCTCCTTCCGCCTCGGCTCCCACCCCGCCTCGCCACGGACCGCTCTCAACCCCCCCCCCCCAGCCCGTTTTTTTTTTTACCCCAGGCAGGCCACCATCGCGTCAAGCCCCCCGCCTTCTCTCTCCCTTCCCGCCTTCGGTCCCTCCGAAGCCCGCAGCCCACTCACCATGGCAGCAAAGAGAGACTAGAAGCCGCTGCACCCCTCCCGAGACCTGGTCCAGAAAACGGAAGCGGAAGTGGCCTCCACCAAACAAGACCTCCACTTCCGCGCTGGATGGCCCGTTCCAACACGTCCCCTTCCCCCGGGTGAGCGCGCGGGATCTTCTTAACCCACCCCTTTTTTTTAGGTATTCACAAATGACCAGGCGGCGGATGAAGCCTTTCTGTTACGGAGACCGAAACATCTCGTGTAGGAACAGAGGTGAATTTATTTTCTTCCTCCCCCCCCCGTTTTTTGGGTGAGTATGGTATGACCCATCCTCCCTGCCTCCATATTTGGCCATGAGAAAGAGGGACTGGGTGGGGTCAAAAGGACGCCCAGTTTTGTTTTTTTTAAAAGCGAGGCGTTCTGCGGCTCCGCGCGTTGGCTTTGCAGCCAATGAGAGCGAAGCAAGAAAGGGAGCGCGCGGCCAATGAGAAGGCTCGGCCGCTGAGGCGGAAGGGGCGGAAGCCTCCGGGGAGAGAGAGAGAGAGAGAGAGAGATTTTTTGGGTGGGAGACTTTTCCCTTCGCCCCTCCCCCCTCGCGCCGCTATGGCGGTTGGGAGCCACTCTCGCGCCCGACTGCTGCATCTCCGGGGGATACGAGGCGCCGCTCTTCCTTTCCTAGCGCGCTCCGAATGGGTGTAACCCGGAAGGAGCCTCTGGAACCGGAAACGCCCCCAATAATTCCCCCCACCCCGCCTTTCTCCAGCGCCCCCTCCTGGCTTGCTTCCCCCCCTCATTCATCATTTGTGTTTCTCCACCGTCCATAGTTCTTACAGTGCTTCCTTATATCCTTTTCCAAAGCAGCATCAGACTCCGGTTCCCTCCGTCCTCGTTTACTAAGAGGACCTCGCTGGGCAAAAGAATTCCCCACGAATTCCTTGTCTTCGCCTTCCCTCTGCAGGATTTACTCACTTCCATAATAATCTCGTCTGCGGGGTAGCTACCCTGTCAAAGCCTGCCTTTGCCATACTAGCAGCCCTTCTTTCCTGCTCATCTTTTATGTTTTTTGTTTAAATAACGTTTGTTTTTCCACTCTATGGATTCTTCCCAATTTAACGGTGCCTGCAGGGATGCCTCCGTCTCAGCGAGATTCCTGGTTGTGAAGAGCTATCTGTCTCCAGTATTTATGTAGGGTAAGATTTTGGGGATTGGGAATAAAATCAAATAAATTCATTCCTTCATCAAGTTCCGCTGTTAGTTATGTATTTGTTTAGTTTGTCATTCATGTACAAGATAACAGGAATAAGAATAAACATGAATAAGAACACAGGAAATGGGTACAAATAAATGGGGACAGCAGGTCAGGGATGCTAGGCACGCTGGTGCGCTTGCGCACGCCCCTGTTATTAACGTTGTTAATGTCGCTCTTTTCATGCTTGCAGCTGTTGTTTATCTTTTCTTCTTCTCAGGCCCGGCAACAACCATGTCTGAACTGAAAGATTGTCCCCTTCAATTCCATGATTTCAAGTCTGTGGACCATCTGAAAGTGTGCCCACGCTACACGGCCGTCCTGGCCCGTTCTGAAGATGATGGGATCGGCATTGAAGAGCTCGACACGTTACAGTTAGAGCTTGAAACGTTGCTGTCCTCTGCAAGCCGCCGACTTCGGGTGCTGGAGACTGAAACCCAGGTCAGATGGTTAATCGAGCCTGCATAGAAAGAAGGGCCTTTAGATTGAGTCTTCCAGTTGGTCAAATGTAATTGATGAAACAGTCCTTAAGTCTGGGAAAGGCAAGTCATTTTCAGAAAGCAAGAATATAGTGAAGTCTGCTTTCTAGATGGCAGAGCCCACTTGGCTCCATGCTTTAAGATCACCTGAGCAACTATTTAGAAAAGCTAGACTTATGTAGTCTTTACACAAAAGTCACATCTGGCTCAGCTGATGGTGCCCTTACCTTGCTGCTGGAGAATTTTGTGTCACAGATGAGGAGTTAGCTTCCAAAATGGTGACAGAAAAGAACAATTGTAGCTTGCATTTGAACTATGGGGCCATTGGTGCTATCTCAGCTTGGTTTTATTGCAGATTACCAAATTTGGTAACATCATCAGTGCTAATTTAATCCAGCACTGATGATGTTACCAACTTTGGTAGGGAAACATCTGCAAATAAAACCAAGCAAGCTCAGAGAGCATTAAGGACCCTACTTCTGACATGCATTAGCATAACCACACATAACACAGAATTGTAGACAAATTAAACTATTCTCTTCCATCATCAGGGCTCTTCTGATGTTAGTAAGTATTCCATAATGGGACAGTCCTGTTAAAGAACCCTTTGCTGATTCCTCTTTCCAAGATAGATATGGGTACCTTGCTACATGACCCTTTAATCTACCTACTTATCTTTCTTTCTTTCTTTCTTTCTTTCTTTCTTTCTTTCTCATCAGATCTTGACAGACTGGCAAGACAAGAAAGGAGACAGGCGATTTCTGAAAATTGGCAAGGACCATGAGGTGGGTCCTTCTATCAAACATAGCAAGCTCAAGAAGCAGAAGCTAGACGTGAAAGGAAGCCACAGCACTCCAGGACGGCCCAAATCCAAGAACCTGCAGCCTAAAATTCAAGAGTATGAATTCTCAGATGATCCAATTGATGTGCCCCGTATTCCTAAAAATGACGCACCTAACAGGTAACTGTGATAGTGACTGCTATCATCTTACCCATCATCACCATAAGTATCTACATTATGAAGCACAAAGAAGATGGGGATGGTTCATTAAATAATTACAGCAGGAATGGGCCTTATATTCAAAAGAGGTGGCAGGGGGAAAAAATGGGGGTGCTAAATATATCCCCCAGTTTGCCATCCCTTGTCTTAATAATATTTGGTAATTATTATTGATTCTTGTTACATAGATTGCACTATCAGAATAAGTGCTCTGGGGTTCTCCACATGTTAAACTTCAATTCCCATAACCCCCATTCTCAACATGACTTGCACCCGAGGCTCTTGGCTAGGAAAGGTGGTGTACTGCTTGTGTTGACTAGGAAAAGTTCTAGCTTCTTAGTAATCCATCTTCTAACGTGTTACTGGAGTGTTGCCTATTATAAGCAATCTTCCTGAACTATGGTTCTGTTTCCTTCTTACTGTTCATGTTCATAGATTCTGGGCCTCAGTGGAGCCATACTGTGCTGACCTCACCAATGAGGAGGTTCGTACCTTAGATGATCTTCTCAAGCCACCTGAAGATGAAGCTGAACACTACAAGGTAAAAAAGCAGAAGCAGTTCATTCAGCCTGTCCTAAATTTTGATTGAGTTAATTCTTCATACATTCCTCGTGTTAAAACTGTTTTGTGGTACTCACTTTGATCTAAGACAAATTCTGTATCGGGTGAAACAATAGGACTAAAAAACTGTTGGATTCTATATTGACTTTAGTGGAGCACAGAACTAGTTATGCACATATTGCTAAACTACAACATAATAGCTCCAATCAGCATGACCAAGTAAAAGACAATAAGTGCTGCAGTTCAGTATTTGAAGGAACACAGATTCTCCATTTCTGACCTAGAGGTTCATGATAATTGTAATTGCTAAAATATGTATTTTGTATTGTTGATTTGTCCCAATATTTTCTGTGAGTCAAAGCTTTTGTAGTCGTTCTAAAGCAAATATGTTTTCTAAGGATTTTAAACGGTAGCATTTTCAAATTTGGATGGAGACAACAAGCTTTTTCCTTTTAAGAATCCCAGAGTTACAAAACTGAAGGGAAAAAAATCACTTGCCTATATGTCTATGGAAATTCTCAATCATCCAAGTCATGGTTGTCCCAAATGTGCTTTTTCAAAAGGCAACTGGACTTGGTTTTTCCTTGAAGAAGTTTTGTTTCTCATCCAAGAAGCTTCAGTTCTGATTGTATGGTGGAGAATGGAAAGATTGATACTCCTTGCTGGTCGAATCTTTTTGGAACTGCTGAAAGGACTGTGTTGGGATATGACACCACCTATCTCCTGTTTACAACACCGTCCTTTCCGCAGTTCAAGAAGGTTCCACACCGATTTGCACTGTTCAGGTCAACCTGTGGGCATAGATAACAGTCCCAGTGGCATCAACGACTACCAGAAAGAATGCTAATGACCAGATGATTGCAAGGAATATAAACACTTCCATTGTCCACTCCACTCCCATTCAATAGGAACCGAAGAAGCTTCCTAGATGAGAAACAAAACTTCTTCAAGGAAAAACCAAGTCCAGTTGCCTTTTGAAAAAGCACATTTGGGACAACCATGACTTGGATGATTGAGAATTTCCATAGACATATAGGCAAGTGATTT